ATGCATCGCCTGCTTGGTCGACGATACGTAAAAATGATATTAAAAGGCTGCAACTAATACAGAATAGAGTGCTTCGTACTATTACTAACGCGCATATGTATGTCAGTAACTTAACTCTTCACCATGACTTGCGTCTGGATACACTTGAGGAGCACATACGCAAACTTAATAGGCACTTTTATGATAAGGCACTTAAGTGTGATCACATGAATATTTTTCTGACTTTCAACTATGTCATATTAATGGAGGATAAAGACCTACGTCCATTCGCGGCCCACGTCTGTAACTCGAACTTCCCCACTTGATAATTTTGTATATATATGAAAATAGTTTGTTTGTATTATATGACAACATCTCCACCTCTGTCCATAATGCTTAGCTCTCCTGACCGAATGATGCCGGTCCCCCCTTTTTGCCACCTCCTATTTACTGTATGTACGTGACGATAGACTTATCGTGATGTCGCCATTGGGGCTAGTTTGATAGAGCCGGATACGCAGTTCACAGGACTGCATTGCCGGCAATAACCTGCCAGTCAGTCAGTCAGTCAGCCTCTATGCCCTTTACGCCGCCGTCTGAACACAGCCTTAGACACCACGATGTTTTTTATGCAAGACGGGGCCCCCACCGCACATTGGTACGTGTATCACACAGTTATTTAGGCAACATTTTACGAATGAATGAATTATAGGCCGACACCTCCCGCTTCTTGGTCACTCCGGTCACCAGACCTCAACCTCTGTGACTTTTGGCTATGGAGTTCTCTCAAAAACACTGTTTATGGTGATAATCTAAGCAAATTGGCGGGATTGAAAGATGCGATCACCGGCATGTCCATAAGATTCCTCCTGATATACTAAGAGCTTTTGTTGAGAAACGCAGTAATACGATCTAACTTGCTTTCAGAAAATGATGGACGCCACATGAACATGCTTTGTAAATGTTTCAGAAACAATTAAACATATTGTTGCGTGCGTACGGGTTCGTTATGAAATGAATGCACAAGTCCGATGAAAAATGAACAAAAATTTATTATTATCACAACAAAAATGCTTAAATTTTCTCAAATTATCATGCAGTATTACAATATCTCACAGTAGTTATCTTTTAACTACTCAAATGTCCAATAGAACGTAATTCAAAACAGCTAAAGAACGCTAATCCGCGAATTCGCTACAATCAACAAGAGCAATTTTCTAAAAACAACAACAAACTAAGCAACTGCTACGAACTGAGATGTTTTCCTCCTTTTATAAGATTTTAAAAATCACGCGCTAGAATTTTCCAGTACTTTCTCGAAATCAAAAAGAGATTTTATTTATTATTTAATGCACGCGCTCTTGTATTTTCAATTTTTCGGCTTAGCTTTCTTTTAATATTCGTCACGCGCTGCACTGCGCGAGAAATAAAACCATTTAATTTATAATTGAAACTAACATTAGCTTTTTTAAATACCAAATTCGTAACACTGCCCCCTTCCCAAGGACTGCACGTCCCGGGCAGTACAATCCCTGGACAGGAAGCCAAACTTACAACTGTGGCGTAAATGCATTAATAAGCATTACATTACAGTAATAAACAACATGAACAATAAATGCAATAAATAAAACAAATCAAATGCTGTCAAATACAAATATCAGATACTAAATGCAAATCAAATCAAATACACATTTAAAAACAAAAAGGACCATGGTCTTATACTATTTACAATTATTTACGTTACGTACTATGGCCATAGTAATGAGCTAACCTGTCGTAATGACCGACTTTAGGTTTAGAGTTCGAAGACTTACGGAGACGTCATTCAGTCTGTTCCGCACTGTACATGGACCATCCGAAGGTGACTGTAGTTTAGGACTGAGTCCTTTTCGTTGAATCGGGTTCCACAACCTCACCTTGTCTCCTTTGTTGGATCTATGTCCAGTAGCTCTTGTGTTGTATCTGGTCTTCACTTGATCCGTCGCCAAGTTCTATCGCTTTAGTGCGAAACGGGGCATCACTTCAAAACGGGCCTGGACATCTTGGATGTGTTCCTCAGGCGATGAAGACGCATCCGTACGGCGGTCACAAGGCAGACGAAGGTCTCGACCGAAGAGCATCTGGGCTGGAGAAGAGCTGGTAGTCTTGCGTTTCTTTTCGACCCTAGTATGATTTCGGCAGCTTCCCGAGCTGGATCTTTCGGACAAGGCGTCGGCATTTCCAGGCGAGGATCCTTTTTGAGGATGGATAGTCATGCCATCAGATGCTGAAAGCAGTTTGTTGTTTTTCAAGTCTAAGGAAAAATTGTATTTCCTTAAAAAGTCCAATCCGAGTATGCATGGATCTGTGATATCCGCCACATATGCCGTGTGATGGTAGGCGGCACTTCCAAACGTGATGCTTACGTTTAACTTCCCAGTTATGTCGATCTTATCACCAGACGCAGTCTGAAGGGTAACACAGGATGGCGTCCAAATAAGTTTATCTTTAAACTGTTCAGCTAAATCTTTCCTAATGATGGTAACATTAGCTCCTATGTCAATGATCATATTGCAAGAAACTCCATCGATATTCCCATTAATGGACAGTCCGTTACTGTTGCCACTCACTGTATAAATTTTAAGCGCTTTAAAACAAGGTTTTTCATTATCTGGCAACCTCCGTTCCTCGATATGGTCACTAATTTGTTACTGCGTCGTTACTTGGAAATGGTCTTATTTTCTGTACCTCGGGGTGTTTTGCAGTTTCTTCGTATGTGGCCTTCAACTCCGCAGTTCCAGCACTTTAGAACTAGTTTCTTTTCACTTCTGTTCCGTCTCAAGCCACTGACTTGTCTGGTAAAATCATCTGTTTTATTTTCATGTTTCAGTTTTATTTTATTTTTCATTCGTTTTATTATTATTCCTGGGGCGTTCTGCAATTCCGTCTTAGGTGACCTTCACTACCACATCTCCAACACCTTAGAGCCACTTTCTTCTCGCTCCTACTCCGTATCAAAGCGTCGACTTGTCTGGCTAAATCATCTAAACGAGCCATCAGTTGATCCACTGGCTCGTGGACTCGCACAGCTCTAACTGGGTAGCGATCTGTACTAGTTGCTTGCTGACGGGCTCCCTCGAACTTCATGGCGTACAACAGAGCGCTTTTTATGTGTCCTTCACATCCTGCCATTCGAAGAGCTTTCTGTATTTCAGGATCCCGGATGCCGTCGATGAAAGTATTGCAGCGACAGGATTTCTCTTGTTTCTGTCGGGCACTCCGAAAAGGCGTGATGTGACAGCCTTTCAACATCCGTGGCGAGCTCCTGAAGCGTGTTTCGGTGGGCTTCTGCTGACGGGATTTTAGTTGAAGCCTGCTGTAGTCTTTTCAAACACTTTTCACCAAAGCGCAGCTCCAATGCGCCGGATAGAGCTTCAAAGTCTAGTCTCTGGTTTTCGGGAAGCGTCTTCAGGATATCCGCTGCGTCTGCTCTCAGAGAAGCTACGAGATAACAGGCCTTAGCTTGGGAATCCCATCCATTCGCATCCGCAACGATAGAAAACTGGGTCTTATACACTTCCCAGGATGTCTTCCCATCATATGTGGATAGCTTCAGAGATGGACGAGCAAGCATCGGTAAGAATTTAAAATCATCACTCTTGCTCCCTGCCGTCGCTACGAATTTCTTTAAAGTATCCATTTCTTTGGCAACTGCAGAAACTCTCTCATCAGTTTGTTGTTCGATTTGTTGTTTAACGGAACAAACTCTTCCTTCTATTTCTTCTTTGACTGAATCAACTCTGTAACCTATTTGTTGTTCCACGGCCGAAACTCTGTCTTCTATTTGCCCTTTCACAGAAGAAACGTTTTCTTCAATTTGTCCAACTTTAATTTCGACCGCGTCTATTCTGCCTTCCATAGCCTCAAATTTATTTTCTATTACGCAGGTAATTTCTCTTTTCATTTTGTCCTGACCTGCTTTCATCTCATCTTTAAAGAATTTCATCTCTTCCTTAACGGATTCCAGGCCCAATTTCATTTCCTCTTTAATTTCTTCTTTAAAAGATGTTTGGCCAGCTTCCATCTTTTCTTGGAACGCAGCAAAAGAAGTAATGAGCTGTCTCAATTGTTCTTCCATCTCTCTTGTTATTGGCATTCCAACCCCACTCCTGACACCAAAAATTGTTGCGTGCGTACGGGTTCGTTACGAAATGAATGCACAAGTCCGATGAAAAATGAACAAAAATTTATTATTATCACAACAAAAATGCTTAAATTTTCTCAAATTATCATGCAGTATTACAATATCTCACAGTAGTTATCTTTTAACTACTCAAATGTCCAATAGAACGTAATTCAAAACAGCTAAAGAACGCTAATCCGCGAATTCGCTACAATCAACAAGAGCAATTTTCTAAAACAACAACAAACTAAGCAACTGCTACGAACTGAGATGTTTTCCTCCTTTTATAAGATTTTTAAAAATCACGCGCTAGAATTTTCCAGTACTTTCTCGAAATCAAAAGAGATATTTATTTATTTAATGCACGCGCTCTTGTATTTTCAATTTTTCGGCTTAGCTTTCTTTTAATATTCGTCACGCGCTGCACTGCGCGAGAAATAAAACCATTTAATTTATAATTGAAACTAACATTAGCTTTTTTAAATACCAAATTCGTAACAATATTTTAAACCGATGTCTTCATGTCTTAGTAGATCGTTTAACAGTATTGCATACAGCACCGTTCCCCCCCCCAGTAATATTTTTTTTTTTCCCGCGCTAAATTAATTTTTATGATGGGCTTTACATGATTACCAAGCTTGGTAACATTTGGTCCAGCAGTTTTCCTTTTACAACCGTTTCAAAGTGGAACTTTAATTATAACCGCCCTGTACATTCAGCTTTATTTTATTGCTATAAATAAGAGCCAAGATTTGCATATTATCGAAAGTCATCTTACTCTGGATCACTATGTATTAATTTATACTTTTTTTTTAATTTCTTCAGCTTGTTTTATCGACTCCTGTACTTTTTTTTTTTTTTTTTTTAATTTTAGGAAATAGTCCAGAATATTGTGGCAGCCATCTTGTATTCGGTGGGTTCAGCTTTTCTGATTATGCATACTACGCTCTTCTTATGGCCAATGTATATTATTATTCCGTATTTCCAGGCTTATCCAGCTCTTATGACGGCAGGGGTAAGGATGAATTTCTCTAATTTTTCGTTATTATTCACTTTTGATTGACGGTTTTAACCATAAATGCCTTAATATTTGACTTTTTACTTCATTGTACGGAGTAAAAAAAAAACTCGACTGGTTGCTCGCTTATCCAATAAGTTAACATATCTAACTTAGTAATTTAGTTTAAAATATTTTTTATTTTATTATCGGTGCTGCCACCTACGAATGATCAAACTAAATTAAATATTATCTCCTCACCCCTCTAAGTTGTAAATCTTGCATGGCTAGCGCATAGAAATTACACCTATGTCGAATTAGATATTCAAAAGAAATCCCGCAAAATTTTAAATAACAGATTGTTTTGCAAGTAGGAATTGTTGCTGGAATCCTCCCCTCCCCCTAAAATCTCTTGCGAAACAAGGAAAGAGAAAATTAAAAATTTCTCAAAGGCACCATTTCTGCATTACAGGCTGGCACCGGCCCTGAACATAAAAATCATAAAGAATAATTAATAACACAAAATTTATTGAATTAATATTGCAAAATCAAACGTCTACAGCTTGCAGCATAAAGGTGGTAAACCCCAACTAAAAATTCAAACGTTACGTTAAATGCGGGTAACATCTAAGTCGCGCAGTGGCTAACAAATAGCTCGCGCTTTTATTTTCTAGATCTAAATAGTTTATATGTTTGAGTGAATATTCAGTGTTCTGTTCAAGTTATTCAGTGCGTGACTTGGGATTGTTGCCGAGTAATTGAACAACGCCAACCACGGAAATGGATTACAAGAGAACTAAGTGACCTTTTCTCCGATAACAGGATCACCTGCAAGTGGTTCTCGTGACGGGTGCCATTTCACTATGCACATAATCCGAATATACTATAATAACAACATGCAAAATTAATATAGATTTGCAAAATAACATGGTGTAAGGACTGCTTGCTCGACAAACATCTCTCGCTTTGAGTCACAAATTCAAAATGTAAACGGAAATTTCTTGCGACTCACTACCGAATATATGTCATCTTCTCAAAACATTTTAAAATTTGGGCAAATTTTTCGCAAGGAATTGTCACGAGTCGTCATTATTATCATGAACGGCTGCTAGTTGCCAAAAACCTCTATGTTAATTTCATTTAATGTTTTAAGCATGTATAAAAAATATACTTTAACCAAAAAGTGGAAAATAGCTTAATAAATAATGATTACGTTTTAAAATGTTTATTATTTAAATTAAAAATAGAACTTTACTATATGTACTTTAAAATGTTAGACTCATTACGTTTTCCTCAATAGTGCTCTTAAGAAAGGCAAATAAAACTTTTTTTGTGTTAGCAAAAATGCAACTAAAATCTTAAGAATTATATTATTCTTTCGCCCAACCCCACTTAAAATTTCATTCTTTATAATCAAGATACTTTAACCCTTCTGAAATACAGATAATCCTTGACTTACGACGAGTGCTGTTCTATGACTCCTGTCGTAAATCGAGGATTTATTTTATCCTTGATATCCTTAATAATATTTTTATAAATTAGGCTTTTATTTGATATAAAACGGATTTAAGAAAACATAGAATTTATAAACAATTTATTTTTATACATATGCACTATATATGTACATATTTTAAATGTGTCTGTGTATCTACATACTGTTTCTTTTGTAACTTTGTTTTCTTTCTACATACTGTTTTTCTGATGTATTTTGCTATCATCCAAAGTGTCGAGACTCTTGGTAAACGTTGAGCGAACTATCACTTACTTTAAAATAAGCACTGAAACTTGAAAAAAGTTAGAAAGCATATCTGGTGCTTACAAGCTCAGTCAACATTTATGGCGAGATAACGTAAATTCAAATAATCTAGTAGCCGGAAGCTACTACATTATTTGATTATAGAATCTACTTAATTACTTGAAGCTACTTGATTATAGAATCTATTAGCCAAAGGGTACACAACGCGAAGTTGGCTCAAAACTTAACCGGCGTGGATATCAGCTATTGGAAATTATAGTGCAAGGCCGAAGACTGCATATCTTATCTAAAAACCTAGCAACGTGGCCTCGAGTGGCAGAAGACGCCTTGTCTTACAATCTAAAAACCTCGCTTTAAACACAAGCTAACTAATTTGGATTCTGGCGGGAAAACGGAAAGGAAAAGTGACTGTAAAGATTCAAATGTACAATAACTGGTTAATCAACATAAAGGAACCTTGCAGTTTAAATTTGTCAAAATTAAACATGAATAAAAAATTTTAAACCTTGTCTTTAATAAAATAACAGGTGAGTTATTATTACCATTTGATTGATTCATTGCAACCAAGAGTAGTTTCTTTAATCAGAAAATTTTTGTTTTCTGTTTGTTTCAATCTGAAATATTGTCACTTTATTTCCCCATATATTCCGCGATGACATCGGATTACTCCTAGAATTGGCTTTTCAATTTTTGCAATATTTTGATCCATATTGTCGAGTAACTAAAGTCTGATTTAATTTAGAAAATGCTTCAGAGAATCATTTTGTAGTATATTTATTGAAAGACGATTTCTCTCTCTCTTTTTTTTTTTTTTTCCTTTCTTTCTTTCTTGTTATTTCCCCTTCTCCCATACTCAATGCCCCGATTCAGCTTGCGTGCTATTTTAACCACTTCTTCGTCAATTTGTTCCAAAATTTCGTCCTCGTTGTATTATTCGTGCAGATCAATGTTTTCCAAAATTCCTCGCATACGTTCTTCTGATATCCTGGTCGCATATTTCCCCAAAAAATTGCGTCAACGCATCGCGCTCTTTTATAGATATTTTAAGTTTCCTGAACATTCAGTGACTTAATAATGATCTGAAAACAACTAAGCCAGTTCTCCCCCCCCCTTAGTGTTTTTTCTTATTTAACAAAATGAAAATTTCGCACTAACAAAATAAAATAAAAAAAAAAAAAATCTTAACTAAGTTTTACATTTCGCTCACTAAATTTTATAAAGCGTACATAAATCCTAACAATAAGCAAAGGAAAAAAATTCAAATTTATTTTCATTTTCTAACTCAAATCTAAAGTTTGGTATCTGAAGATATATTTTTTTAAATTACACTTTGTAATTCAAATATATTAGTAGTTCAGTATTAAAATATTTGACTGATATTTATTTCAAATAATTACAACATGTTTAATTAATCACAAAGCAGTTTAATTTAAAATAAACTTTAGTTTAATTAAAAAAAAAAAAAAAGAAAGAAAGAAAGAAAGAAAATCTGAAAGCTTTGAGATTTTATATTACGCTCAAAGAGGCGTTTTTTTAACGTTTTTTGTGTTACCTTTATTTATAAAATATCATGTTCATCGCACTTAAACCATAAAATTCAATTCAACGGCCATAAATTATTTATTAAAATAATTTTAAAAGAGCATATCGTTAGAATTTCCGATGCACAGTCTCGCGCGCTGGAGATTAATAATGCGTTTTTTTTTTTTTTTTTTTTTGTCGTACAGTGTTGCTATTGCTCGCTTGGAAATCGTCGAGTTTCTTAATCAAAATCTCATGGCGTAGCCCGTATATGGTCATAGGGCAAACTTTGTTTTGCAAGGTGTACCGGGCTGCGCCCTAACAAAACAAAACATGCTTTACAAAATATGAAATAATTAATAAAACAAATTCCAAATTCGGCTGAGGCAGTTCGGCAAATTCGGCTTATTCAAAACTGGATGGCTCTAGGTACCGTCGTTTATCACATTTATGAAGATTCTTCATTATTTAATTTCTTTAAGTATAATACAGGGCGACAATATTTGTTGGTAACAATTTGAAAAGTAATTCAAACTTTTAAAGTTTCCGACGCAAATTGCTAAAATGAAATTAATAGCCCTTCTGGGCTAACACCCTTTGGGCAAATAAACAAATAATTAAAACTTTCTAAGCTTTCAGATCAAATTTGACAAGGTGACAAAACTTAAGAATAAATAATGATAATTTAGTCTATTTCTCTTATTTATTAAATTTTTCGTCTACGCGTAAATAAAAATATGTGTGTTCGTATGTAAAGAACCAAAAGCTTTTCTATTTCTTACATCTTAAAATTTGATGGCGTTGCCATTCTGGATTTTGTAATCTTGGAGAGAAATTACTAGAAATTATCGTCATCACAGATTGTAAAGGCTCATCGGTGAATTGGGCTCTTTGCTTATTCATTTTCAACTTTGATAAAAAAGCTGTTCACGTACAAATGTATTCTCGAACAAAGCGATTATTCTTAAGGCAAAATTTCGCAACTGAACTAATTTTATTTTATTTTTTAACTTGCGCAAATAAAAGTTAATAAAATCTGTGTCTTCAGATCTCTGAATAAGAATTTATTATCCCAATATAAATTAATTACCTCCCTTTATAAATTTTCTGCTGGGCTATTCACGTTCGTGTTTAATGGCAATATAAATTCGGACTTCAAATTTTACGATTTTGAAATCTTTGCAACACCTGTTGTCAGTGGTGTAGCTAGGGTAGGGCAAGGGGGAACATCTGTCCCCGGGCACAGCATCCAGGGGGTCTCAAATTAATATTACGGAAGTTTTTTTAAAAAGTGTTTTAAACAAATGTAATTTTTTTGAAAAGTGTTAAAGCGTTTTCCACTCTTGGCACACAGGAAGGAGTGCAAAATCTTCAATTGTCCTCGGGAGCTGAAAACACTAGCTACAGCTCTGACGTAACGCATTTTTGTAGCGACGTTTTAACGGTCATGCTGTACGTAGATGTTGGCGGTAAACTTAAAGTAGAGGGTTTTCAATCGTAGCTTTTGGCTGCCGTAAAAGCCAGTCACTGTATTCGAGGACGATTCATGTGCACTCAGAATTTCAAAGCTAATCTAATTTATCCCCATTTTGTACACAAGATGGCAGCACCAGCTGCAGTCCGACTACCTACAGAGTTAATGAGAGAGAGTAGAAGTGACTTTGTTTAGGATCAGAAAGGTAAATAATAATTTTTTTTTTGGGAGGGGGGGTGATTATGACTCTTGACAGGAGTTTTGAGGATTCATATAAAAAATACGTAATAAACTTTCAATCTTCACTTAACGAAATTTGTATTATAAACACTATTTAATATGTAAATCAAAATTATAATTTAAACTAACAAGAGCCTCTTAATTCCGCCTCTCTATTCTAATACTTCTAGCAGTGCTTAAACTGCGCCGGAGCCCGGCTCCGGTACTTCTCAATTTTTAAGATAAATTACAGTTCTACCCAGAACGCACTGGAGCCCTAAATAAGATGAGTTCCGGTATTTCTTTTTATAACACTGAGCCACAATTTCAAGAAAAAAAAAAAAAAAATTGAATACCTAACGTTTTATTTTAACAATAAGCAGACTTTGCATACTCTATTTCCCTAGAAATGCGAACTCATGAGAACATGAAAGTCCCCTCACTCACACGCGGAAACCTTTCCCTTTAAAAAGGGCAATAAATTTGGAGAAGTTTGTTAAGGAAAGCGTAAATTTATCGCCATGCCATCGTATTTAGTGTATTCATGCCATCGTATTTAGTGTATTGTTATCGATGGTTAGTTATCCTCGTAAGAAGGAAAATTTTTGTTCTTAAATGTGCGTTAAGTAACAGCGAGTACAATAAGAGTGAAATGCTGAGATAAACTGCTCAAGCACGTCTTATACATCGTCTTCCCACAGTATCCACTAATGCTTACATTCATCCTTAGGAGTCAGATCAGGAATCATTTACCCTGAACACATCTGCTTGATGGCTTAATTGTACCAGCAGAGAGCCGGGTCAACAGAACGCTCTCTTCACCAAGATTCCCTCATTATTGTTTCACCCACTCATATCTTACGCCTCATTCTGTTTCGCTCTGTTTTTAGCATTATTAATTTCATCAGCTATCTTAGTTTTAATTTTTGTGATGATAAAAGAACTTTTTCCCTACGATGAGGGCTAAAATTGGACGGCTACGGTGCTTTTAGTTTTTGTAATAAAATCATAATATAGCCGGAGCCTAAATAAGAGCACTTCCTAAATGAAATGCACTTCTCTTATGTAACTGAATAACGATTTCAGTACAAATTTTTTATCTCGAAAATTTTTTTTAGCAATAAAATTATATTAAAAACGCTTATTAAATTAATTTATCTTTTAATTTAATTAATTTATATTTATTACTTTAATCTTTAATTATCGAATTATTCAATAAATAATAATTAATGATCTAATAATTATCATTAAATTATAATTAATTAATTCTATAATATTAATTAAATAATTTATATATTGACATTAAATTAAATTAATTAAATATGATGATAATTAATAAATATTAATTAAATAGCTATTGATTAATTTGATAATTAACCATTTAATTTTAAAATTATTAATGAGTTTAATAGTCATTTTATTTATTTATTATTCTTGTTCCTCTTTGTGACCGAGCCCATAGGGTCCGGCACTTCTAATTTTAGAAATTAAGCCCTGACTACTAGTATGTATACCGTTTTCTAAACTGCTTCATTTATAGATCAGTCCATCATATATGACTTGCATAAAGCTAAGGACCCATAGCTAATTCGGAACTTCAACCGAAACTTTCTCTTAATAGGATGCCATATACCGGATAACTGCGCACTTTTGTTTCTACCTGTGCTCTTGCTAAGACCATGCCTCGTTGTTCTCTTCCTGTCGCAACAGTATTTACCAGTGAGATTTGTAACTAAATGAATCAGTTTAATCACTAATGGCAAATATCACATCCATCCTCCTCCCTTATATTTATTTATTAATAGGTCAATAAAATAGAAAATAGCTATTTATTAATGTATATAATCCATCAATAAAAATAATAACTCAGCTTGCCATTATTTTTTTTTTCAATTCACTTTAATTTCATTTCAAATTCAAACTGTCCAATAAAAACTGGAGTCGGAGTCGACCTGTTTTTAGCGATTCCGACTCCATAGCCCTGGTTGCCATTCGTAAGTTAATATGTAGTGGCCAGTTATTGCATGAGAAATAATTATAGCAGTGTAGTGGCCAGTTATTGCATGAGAAATAATTATTTTTTATTTCATATATTGGTTCATGTGTTTAATTATTTTATAAAATTTAATATTTGTTAATATTCATATTATATTCCTTTTATGCTGAATGGCAACAAGTAGTCATATTATATTTAAATTTCTTTATGCTGTATGGCAATAGTTCTGATCGATTACTAGTTTTGGTTTCAAAACGTTGCTCATAGCGTCGTATTTCGATAGCTGGAAAATAAAATGCAATAAACTTAGCTATTTGTTTATAATTCATGCTGTTCCTAATCATAAATTAATTTTAAACATTAGTAGCCAAGGCTACAAATAAATACTAAATGAAACAAGCTTCATTTTCTCTTGCGCTATTCATATTCGTTTTAAGTGGCAATGAAAATAATATAAGCTAGACCTCAAAATTCTGAAGTCTTTGCGACACCGTACTTACAATAAATGCATATTTGGGGCTGCTGAAATTGCTTCGAGGGCCGCCAGTTTGAGACCACTTGCTTATCCCATGACGTTATTGACTTATAGGTCTCTCGGGGCATTGGTGTGGATCACACATGCGTGATTCTGGCCATGTTTTAATTACCATAAAAATGTAGCAGAATTTCAGGAAAGGCACTTTTATGACTTCGATGATCTTATCTACGCTTTTCATCTTCGCGTTTTTCACTAAACAGCGCAGTGTTAAATTAGAATATTTTTAATGCAAAATGTTTTTATGTATCTCTTGATGTAAAGATTTTGTAGATGAATTTTCAAAATAATTATACAAAACAAATGCGAAAAAATTAAATTCTTTAAATTAAACCTGAAGCAAAAATGGATGTAGGAATTCCAAAATTATTTAAGATGGTCAAACACCCTTAGACCATGTACTCAGAATTTTACTCAAGTGTCTTTTGTGCATTTCTAATAATATTAGATATTTATTTCCAAAGTACTTATTAAATATTTGTACTTTTTTTTTCCAGGTTTTTGGTTGTTTGTGTGGTTTCGTTCATGCAATTGACGGTTATTGCGCCTTCCGAACATTCCGAGGTATTCGATGAGTTTCCGAATTTCTGCGAGCCTAAATATTCTAGTTGCCGAAGCAGACGATATATTTAAGACAAACATTCTATCTAGCATATAAAAAACAAGGTTGATGGTTTAATTACCGGAATGGCAGCCATGACGTAGTTGTATTGAAATAATGTAAATATTCCATCGTCTAAACATGTTTAAACAATGAAGGTTAGAATAGGTTTAAACTAAAATGGTTTAAACTAAATAATATGCGCATAAATATTCATGATGATAGAAGTAGATATTAGTTGAGTTATTGGCAAGGCAATAGATATCCGCGTGAGCAGTTCTTCGTAAAACTGAGTGATCCCAAATTAGAGCAACGTAATAATACAAAATTTTGTGTGAAAATTGAGAAAGCGCTATTGAAGTGTTAGAATTATTAAATAAATGCGCAAGTACATGGTGAAGATGGCATGGGAAAATAAAATGGTTATCAGTATCAAATGAGATTCATAAATAGGGAATTAAAATGACCCCATAGAGGTCAATGTTAATAAAATGCAAGAACGATACTGTTGTGAAACTTCTAGTTGAAATATTATGGTACCTTTAAATTAGTTTTAATGGAAGAATTGTCATAAAGAAGATTTATGCGTAGTTTTTAACTTTTAACTACTTGCAGTTAAAAGACATACTGATGGGATGAAGCTATTTTAATGTCACCGATATCAAGCAGAATGGAAAAGTTCTCAGCAGAATTCTATAAAATAAATTCCTGCTTTCAGATACGGAAAAGCCAAAAAATTCGATATATGAATGCACACAGGAAACATTTTTTTAAAGTTTTAGTAATCAATAGCGTATAAACCCATATTTTTTAAAGTTAAATTCTGGGACTTATATTATCGCATCTTTTAAAAGTAGAACTCTAATTACTTAAATTACTATATTATACAGTTTAAAAAATTAAATTTACTGAATATGAAAATAAAACATAAATTGTCTTTACATGTTTAGGTTAAAATAACACTGAGAACAAACATTAATTTAGAAGTCAAACAACTTTGCACTTTGACAGCTGAGGATGATAGTTCGGTAAAACCATCGAAACTAGTCCTGTGAAAATTTGCAAATATAATGCTGATTTTTGTTGTTTGACTTCTGAAATAATAGCCTTACATATGTTTGAGAAAAACAATTATAATAAGTATTGCCTGTCGAAAAATGGATAAAGACGAAATGGCAACTAAAATAAAATATTGAAAAGTTTAAAATGAATGTATCGTCTGCTTTGACTATGGAAGTTAATCGTTTACGTTATTCCATAAAAAGTGTTTAATGGCAAGAAGAAATTCTTGTTAGTAGCTCAACTGAGGAATTAATTCAGGAATACTAAATGAGGTATTATAATGTGTTTATTTTCGATCTTTCGTTGCTTTCGTGTGTGAAAATTGTGTTTTAGAAGTTAAAAATGTGTATGCATGAATCCATGTTTATTTGCTCATAAATTTGTACGGATTTCTATATTAACTGAAAATAAAAAAAATTTTGAAATACTACTGTGTCTTTATCACGAAACCTTCGAACTTTTTCATGTTCTTTTCTTCGAATGCTTAAATTAATATGCAGTACAAGGACGAATCACATTAAAAGTGATCACCTCCTATATTTGATGTGAGCCGAATGCACAGTTCGAAAGTAATAGCTGACAGGCTAGAATAATTTTTTCTTATTTTTTAAGAAACCAAAAAATATTTTTAATAAATTTTAAATTTCGTTAACTAAGCAGGCAAATTGTGTTTTTAAGACAGTGTCCCCCCCTCAGTTCTATGATGATAACGGATCGAACAAAAGAACTTGCAGCTTGCACGCCATATTATTGCGTACCCAAACAGAAAAAGAAATATAATTCTTCCTCCTGATTATAATATTGCTAACAAATAAGGAATAGAAATAACTTAAACATCAAAGCAACTGCATTTTTCTAAATAATAACACAAATAAATTTAGCAGTGAAAGAACAAACAAGGCTTTTTTAAGTAATGAGAACGTGAAATAAGTCCACCACCCAGAACGGAAAACTCACTGAAAAGCATTCCTCAATTAAAATGTTCACAATTAAGGGGGGGAAAACACTAGATTAAAAATAGTAACTGACAACTCAAAAAAGTTAGTACAAAAGCGCTAACAATCTAAATGTGAGGAATATCTTGCAAATTAATTTAAAAACAGAAATCTAAATTAAATGAGAATAATTCATTACAAAAGGAATGGATATTTAAACAACTGAAAATGAGCAATATACTTTTAAAATTTTCGTTAGAGTAATTAAAACGACTAAGGTCATATGAGCATGCGCAACGAAAATCACGTGATCTCGGATGTCATTTCCGACTTTTTGCGAATTTTTTAGTCTTCTTTTGATACTTTAGTTAAAAATTTTCTGGCAACACTGGCTGTAAGTCTTTTAGTATCGTCTGTGATTCGATCTAGATATCCAGTGTTTTTGTAGCTACGTTTTGTTTTCGCGTTCATAATTAATAGCCCATCTGTCCAAATTGCCCCTTTGGGCTGACAAATAAAAAGAATAGACATTTTGTGTTTAACATTGGCAGCAGCAGTGCAGTTAAAAGAAATAGACATTTTGTGTTTAACATTGGCAACAGTAGTACAGTTAAAAAAAATAAACATTTGACATCCGCTGTAATTCTCTTAGTATCGTCTGTGATTCGATCTACATAGACATGGTTTCTGTAGCTACGTTTTGTTTTCGTGTTCATCGTAGAAATTGAGAAAATACAAATTTTTTCAACAAAAATTAGTCATCAAGTACTGTTTGATTTTTTTTCTATTAAGCTTCTGCCGAAATTTCGATCCTTTGGAAGGGAAAAAAGGTAAGAGAAACCTTTTTTCTGAGTTTTGAATTTGAAACTTTAGAATTTTCCGAACTTTTTTTAAATGAAAGATTTAGTTATAATTTTTCAACAAGGGCATCACGATCAGTAACTCTTCCGTTTGTACTTTCAAAGTTACATTTTTACTTTTTTGTACGAAGTAAAGGAAGTATTGTAATCACGAAAAATTTCAGGTACCATATTTTCAATCAAAATATCCATTTTGACCGCTATCGAATGCAATTTAACGATGTCTTTGCGGGACATCTGCACGTAAGGACAGAATAAAGAACTCTTTTTCTCCAAACGAATGATAAAACTGACTAGGACTAAAAATGGATTCAGAAGAGTTTTTTTATGGCATCTGTACATACGTACGCAGGGGGGGGCCCAAGAGCGATGCGCAGTGCAGGGAGAAAGTTATGCCACATACAATGACGTCATGGGGTGAAGCGTTAGTTCTTGGCGTGTTTACTTCGTTGCATCAACATTTGATTTTGATTTGTGTGTTAATTTGCTATTACCTAGGCGGAAGTGTCAAATTGTGTATAGCGTTGGTCGAATTATACACGTTAAACGTTCGGCGGAAAAAACTCTTTACAACCAATAAAATAACTATTTTTTTAATTTATGTAGTTTTCATGCATAACTGTGATGAATTTACATTATTTTCATTTAATGCTATTTTACTTAAATTGAAAATTTCTCATTTTAAATAATTTTTATCATAATCTTCATTTTGTGTATGGACATCGAGTGAGATATTTAAACTCCGTGTCATGTACCAATACTGAGTACCGGAATGATAGTTAATAAATCGAGTATCCAACTTCATTCACATTTTTGGTTACTTTCTTTACATCCCAAACGTAATTCTATGTATTGAAGCAGCGTGGGTTAAGCGTTGCGAACTAAGTAACTGATACATGCCTCACCGTGGGAAAAAGAACCATTTCTCGACACGCTATGATGCAAAACATCGAATGAGGAGTGACATATTTCCTTCAGTGTTATTTAACTGAGCTACAGGTATGTGTGATGTAATTTTAATTGATAACTTACACATGCTTGAATCTGAAGGAAAACAAATCTGGTATGCTAGGAAAAAATAGCGAAAGTGTAAGTAGATATTCTGTTCGGTTATTTAATGCTGCATATGTTTTAATTTTGATTTCATATAACTTGTCTTTTTAAGGGAATAAAAATAATTCATGAACCCATACTCGAGTATAACAAAAGTATTTTAGAAACAACCTGATAATACATTAGTAATTAAATATTTAATTGTGTACAGGCTCCTTGAAATAAGATGGGGTGGTGTATTTAATTATGGCAACACTAGGGCTTGCGCAATAGGTGTGATCTTCGTGGGAGGCCTTTCTAGGGACTGGCTGTTACACGTTCACTGAGGGAAACCCGAAAACGCCCATGCAGCCAGTCCGTTCGCGGGATTCGCCGAACACCAGTGTTCACGACTTTAACGCTCCGCTGGTGGGCGAAAAGATGTGGGCAAATTTCTTAATTATCTTGTGCGTATAGTGTAAGAAATGTATTTAATTTTCCTTTTTAATTATGGAAGGAAACTGGATGCCTCGAAGATTATTTACATAGCAATAACACGTAGGATAAAGGCTATAGGAAATCTTGGGAGTCTAGGGATTATAAAGACTTGATGAACTGATATGCACTTCGGCGAAAATTGAAGTGAATCGTCTGAAGTGATTTCGCTTTAAAAGAATGTGATAAGTACTATTTAAAAGTATAATGACGGATATAAACTTGTAGATTTTGGTTTAAATATAATTTGTTAAGTCCTTTTTTATTTTTGCTTTAATGTAACTTGAAATCCGATCTATATTTCTCATGGTGTCAAAGGTCTTGTTTGGTGCTGATAGAATATAAGGTTTATTTTTTTTACATGGTCTTAGCAGATATGCCATCATGTGTTCGTCAACGTTTATTAGTGCAACATACTACGAAAAAATTGAAAAATCCTTGTTACAATATTTTTCCTAATTACTTACTATCGTTTTCATTTCTAATGCTCTCCTTACGAAAAGAATTAATGTTTACAATTTTCAGCATTCGTCCGAATTGTGCATAAATAAACTTTTTAACAAATACTTAATCGGAATGTATACCCGGTATTTCTGGTGTATCTACCACAATAAATGATCTTTGCTTTAGTTTACTTTTTCCATTACCCAAATCTTGTAGAGACGCGTCGGCCGGCGTCTTGCTCCCGGGTGACGATCAGCCCAATGCACGCGTTTTCCGTTCTGGCCTAACCTAGTATAACAGAACTTGATACGTATGTATCTCGCATAACTCAAAAACGAGTAGTCACATAATGTTGAAATTTTGTATAGAGGACTGCTATAACATGTAGATATGCACCTCGTATTTTGGTTGCAATCGGCCTAACCAAAAGTATATATATATACACACACACACTCTGTTACTCGGCTCAGTGAGCTCAGTTTTTTTTTATTCTTATATTTTGGTAAATTGTGCTTTTGCTTTAAAAATGATTAAATCACGTTGGTCTTATCCTCCGGTTAGGTTTTATGCCTTTAGTTAATCTACATGCAATATTTAAGAATTATCAACATTTAAAAGGTAAGTGGGCTAGGCCGAATTTATTTACAGATGAACCTTATTTACATTTGAAACTTAACATATAGTATTAGTTATTTCTGCCGTTCAGTGTTTTGCCGAGTGGGACCCAAAAATTTAGTTTGTGCACCGAAAAATCGCTTTTGCCGTGGCCTTATGTTTTTTATCTTTCGTTTTAAATGAAATATTTTGAGATTTTACGTCTGTTTGCTCTTCAGTGAAGATTAAATGAAAGTTCAAGGAAATAAGTGAGATGTTACGAGTAGCGGCGTAGCATCCGGCTTGATTCTGTGAAATTTTTTTTTGTTAATTCTTTTCACAGTTTAGATTTATTTATAGTCTTTGAATAGAACATGTGGCGTGCGATTATAATCTTTCAATGGTAAATTTTTGTGCTCTTAGTTATAAAATAAGGAGTGCCCGGTTGTGTTAAGTGAACCTACGGCCAGAGTGTCGCTATGGTAAACAAATCTAGTGAATTTTAAAGAATGCATTTATTCTATTGTAGTTTATGCGATATTGAGGAAGTAGATTTAATTCAGTTCAATAAGTTTAAAGGAAATGTAGGAAAAAAATGTGTATATTTTAATATTCCTGACAAGGAAGTCATGTGGATATAATCAGGATCGGCCGAACAGATTTAAGCTTAAATTCAGATGAAGATCGGCTAACTACCACTTGCTTCAGCATGGAATCGTTATTCGAGCCGAAGCCTCAAGTAAGAGGAGGTCCGAAAATTAATTTTAATTAACTGTTTATAATTGATTTAATAATTTATAAAATTTCTATTTATCTCTTTACATTTCCTTTAATTTTAATTTAATTATTTTAATTTTTATTTATTTTATATATTTATTACTTCCTTCGGTTTTGACACTTTTCCACAGGGTTCCGGCACTTCTAATTTTAGAAATTAAGCTCTAATTAAAATGTCTGAAAATATTCACGTTTTAGGACGCTGCTGCCACAGAAGCTTATTTAAATAAGAATCTACACTTAATGCTGCGTTGACGTTTATTTCGCACTGCCCCATAACTTTTCGATAG